TATGGAAGTTTTGTGTTTTTATTATTTTATTTTCTAAACCCATATAGTCATTGTTATTCTTATCATAATTTAGTAGTTTCACCCTTATGACGCACTATACATTGATGTGCACATTCTACGATCAAAGGTGAGCGTCACGTGCAATACGTGTATCCGTCATTAAGCAAATATCAAGATTCAGTCAACTGTTCTTACTGCTCAATACCTTGGAAATCTATTGATTTCGTTGTTGATAAGCAAATATGGGGTCTCATCCACAGACAACTGCTCAGTAAGGCAGAGTGCTAGCTTATCATCCCCACAAAAAAATTACCTTGCTGGAAAGCCATTGCCGTGAATTTAAGCTTAATGTAAATGCAAACAAAACATAGGTTGTTGTTTTTAAGAATGACGGGAAACTGTCCAAATCAGAAAAAGGGCTTTGTAACGGAGACTACTTAGAAGTTGTTAAAGGATATATACTCTCCCAAAAAACAAACGCATCATGAAAATAGAAATTTCATGTATCAATGAATTAAAACGTGATTCATTTTACAAAAGGTTTAGCTCTGTTTATGAGTCCTATGGTGTTTATGTTTTGGAACATCACAACAAAACGCACCATCCGTAAAATACCCGTATTGAACAGCACAGAATACACAATTCACATGCAATGTACGTGAAAGTTGGGGATCAGATAGTCTCAATGATGGGTATAAAAGGTTGATCGCTTGTCTGTCGAGTATTCACTGTATTTGGAATATTGTTGACGAACGCAAAATGCCACGTCTAAGTGAAGCCAATCGTCATATCGCCATTGGTTTGCTTGAAGCTGGCCAGTCTCAACGTGCAGTTGCCCGACGCATGAATGTTCACCAAAGCACCATTTCACGGCACTGGGAGAGATATAGCCGGCAGAATGCGGTAGCAGATGCCCCTCGTAGTGGGCGACCACTGCGGCGCAGGATCGCTACATCCGGGTACATCACCTGCGTCATCGAACAGCTACGGCGACCAGTACCACTCGACAAATACCCGGATTGAAGAGGCTTTATTCGTTCGATGCCGAGGCGATGCCGTGCAGTTCTGGATGCCCACGGTGGTCACACGAGGTATTGACTTCAGCGACACCACACGTCTCCATGTGACACTCAAACTGACTTTCCTCGAGTTGGTGCCAAAGACTGATAAGTCTGCATTTCCAGTGTGCAATTTCGCTATATTTCATTGGCTCATAAAGCCTACAAGATGTTTCAAATTCTACCATGAATCAAGAAAATACTAGATTCTGATTGGCTGTTCAGAAAAATCAGACGGCATCAATTGTGGATTGACGCTCATCTGATTGTAAGGCCGCTTCACCGCGCATTAACAAATCTTATTGTGAGAACTACTTCCGTTTGACCACAATGATGGGGGATCATAACAACAACTTCATGGATTTTGACGCTGACTTTCGAATTTTCCACATAGGCAATTGGAAATTTTTGGAATAAAAATGCGTTTGATTTCATTGCGCTTCACTGCGCACGTATAGAACACTGCCGCACTACTTCAGCTTGACCACCAACATGACTAATATCAACACAACAGCCGTGATGGAAATGCTGATAAAACATTTATTTAAACTCGAAAAGGTGGTCACTGTTATGTTCATCTACTTTGAAAAACGCTTGGACACAGTCCAGTCCCAAACGATGAAAACAAAGTTCCAAGGAATCACAAGTTAGTCGCATGTATACTAAGCAGCAGCACTGTCACGCTTTTGTCGCATGGCGGGGTGGAAGCAGTACGTGAAATCATTATCGGCCGGTCATAAAAATCATCAGTCTTTGATGAGTTACAGGTCGTAGGTTGATCAGGAAAGGATCTATTGTTCGATTCTGCAGGGTTCAGATTCAACAGTCAGTCAAGTATTGTCCACTGTCACTTCAAATTTCAACCTTTCGCAAAATGTAAACACTGGCTCGTACGCCATTTCAAACTGTTGCGTAACTGTCTACTTCGACGAAAATAAGTAGGTCAGACGATTCCATTATAGTGTGGCCAGGGGGGTACAGTTTCACGGCACACAAAACAATAGGCTGGTTTTAGTCGTGTGGAGTTGGGATGAAAAAAACCACAAGATCTCGGGTATTACATAATTGCATTGAATAAACAGTAGTTTGATTTCTTTGGACAGAATATTGTTATGTGGTAATGTTAAAAAAATACGAACGGCATCTACCGCTCCCTTCACAGACGAGTTCAATTCGCCTCTCGTCCCATGCCGGATTACGCAGTGTCTTCCGCAGAGCGAGGAAGTTCGATTTTAAATGGGTCATGGTAGAACGGAGATAACCCTAGTGTGTTTGAAAATCAGAGACATGCTTTACTGAATTGATGGCGACTAAATTTCAATTGGAACCGAACGCGTAGCGTGAGGTTTCAGTTGTAATATTTAGTCGCCATCAATTCAGTAAAGCATGTCTCTGATTTTCAAACACACTAGGTTTATCTCAGAGACATGCTTTACTGAATTGATGGCGACTAAATTTCAATTGGAACCGAACGCGTAGCGTGAGGTTTCAATTGTAATATTTAGTCGCTATCAATTCAGTAAAGCATGTCTCTGATTTTCAAACACACTAGGTTTATCTCCTAAATAAACATAAAAATACAGTTGAAATTCCGATATGCGTTCCTTTTTTGGAGAGAATATATATCTAGGGGTCCATTTTGCCAATACGTTATCATGGTTATCATGATCATATAAACATGCAGGATATGTCAATGTCCCCATTATATGATAAAATATACATGCAGGATATGTCAATGTCCCCGTTATATGATCATATATACATGCAGGGTATGTCAATGTCCCCATTATATGATCATATATACATGCAGGATATGTCAATGTCCCCGTTATATGATCATATATACATGCAGGGTATGTCAATGTCTCCATTATATGATAATCATATATACATGCAGGATATGTCAATGTCCCCGTTATATGATCATATATATGCATGCAGGATATGTCAATGTCCCTCCCGTTATATGATCATATATGATATATCATATATACATGCATGATATGTCAATGTCCCCGTTATATGATCATATATACATGCAGGGTATGTCAATGTCCCTGTTATATGATCATATATACATGCATGATATGTCAATGTCCCTGTTATATGATCATATATGCATGCATGATATGTCAATGTCCCCGTTATATGATCATATATACATGCATGATATGTCAATGTCCCTGTTATATGATCATATATACATGCAGGATATGTCAATGTCCCCGTTATATGATCATATATACATGCAGGATATGTCAATGTCCCCGTTATATGATCATATATACATGCAGGATATGTCAATGTCCCTGTTATATGATCATATATACATGCAGGATATCTCAATGTCCCTGTTATATGCTCATTTATACATGCATGATATGTCAATGTCCCTGTTATATGATCATATATACATGCAGGATATGTCATTGTCCCTGTTATATGATCATATAAACATGCAGGATATGTCAATGTCCCTGTTATATGATCATATATACATGCATGATATCTCAATGTCCCTGTTATATGATCATATATACATGCATGATATGTCAATTTCCCTGTTATATGCTCATATATACATGCAGGATATGTCAATGTCCCTGTTATATGCTCATATATACATGCAGGATATGTCAATATATGATCATAAATGCATGTAGGATTTTCCCATCTCCCCTTAACACGATCAGTAAACACATTCTGCATTTGTTAATCTGACCGTCAAATGATCACATATATATGTCTAAGTCTGAGTTTAGTTTCACGCCGCTTGTAGCAATATTCCAGCAACATCACGGCGGGGGACACCAGAAAGGGGCTTCACACATTGTACCCATGTGGGGATTCGAACCCGGGTCTTCGACGTGACGAGCCAACGCTTTAACCACTAGGCTACCCCACCGCCCACATATACATGCAGGATTTGGTAATCTCACCGTCAAATGATCACATATACATGCAGGATTTGTTAATCTCACCGTCAAATGATCACATGTACATGCAGGATTTGTTAATCTCACCGTCAAATGATCACATATACATGTAGGATTTGTTAATCTCACCGTCAAATGATCACATATACATGTAGGAATTGTTAATCCCACCGTCAAATGATCACGTATACATGTAGGAATTGTTAATCTCACCGTCAAATGATCACATATACATGTAGGAATCGTTAAAATCACCGTCAAATGATCACATATACATGTAGGAATTGTTAATCTCACCGTCAAATGATCACATATACATGCAGGATTTGTTAATCTCACCGTCAAATGATCACATATACATGCAGGATTTGTTAATCTCACCGTCAAATGATCACATATACATGTAGGAATTTGTTAATCTCACCGTCAAATGATCACATATACATGCAGGATTTGTTAATCTCACCGTCAAATGATCACATATACATGTAGGAATTGTTAATCTCACCGTCAATTGATCACATATACATGTAGGAATTGTTAATCTCACCGTCAAATGATCACATATACATGTAGGAATTGTTAATCTCACCGTCAAATGATCACATATACATGTAGGAATCGTTAATCTCACCGTCAAATGATCACATATACATGCAGGATTTGTTAATCTCACCGTCAAATGATCACATATACATGCAGGATTTGTTAATCTCACCGTCAAATGATCACATATACATGCAGGATTTGTTAATCTCACCGTCAAATGATCACATATTCATGTAGGATTTGTTAATCTCACCGTCAAATGATCATATATCCATGTAGGATCTCCCACGTCATGTTGTCAATTATACAAACAGGATTTGTTATTTACACATGCATGTTTTGGCGTCATCGTTATTGTGTCAAATAATCCTAAAACAGTGCCACGTTTAATAAATAGAAACTAATACGAAAACATTTGATGTTGACATTTTTCAGAGATAAGATGTGGGCCTTTATTCTCGAAACGTTCGTAGCCTTAAGAATTCTTAACTTTGATCGTAGCCAATGTCTTAAGAATGGGCTTAAGAAGTTCGTTGGGGTACGATCGTTTCGAGAACAGCTAGCCTGGTGTAGACTCTGTTGAAAGGTGACTTGTTTGTCACGTTACTACTTGATATTACAACAATTAAGAAGGCGCTTTCACATCCTCATTGTCATGGAGAGCCGGAAGCTTTCGTAACCGGATAACGCCGATCCTATTATGACCCAGCAATAATGTAGTGTTGGATCTCATCACAAACACAGTACTAACGTGTGTGTGTGTCTCTGTGTGTGTGTGTGTGTGTGTGTGAGAGAGAGAGAGAGAGAGAGAGAGATAGAGATAGATAGATAGATAGATAGATAGATAGATGAGAGAGAGAGAGTGAGTGAGTGAGTGTGTGTGAGAGAGAGGATGAAAGAGACTGAGAGAGTGTGACAGAAGGAGTGAGAGAGAGAGTGTGTGTGAGAGAGAGTGAGTGAGTGAGAGAGTGAGAGAGACAGTGAGAGAGTGAGTGGGAAAGAGAGAGGGTGAGAGAGAGAGGGTGAGAGAGGAAGCGTGAGAGAGAGTGGGAGGGAATGTGAGAGACAGACACAGAGAGAGATTGAGAGAGAGTGACAGAAGGAGTGAGAGATAGACTGTGTGTGATAGAGAGTGAGTGACAGAGTGAGTGAGGGTGGGAGAGAGAGAGGGTGAGAGAGGGAGAGACAGTGGGAGAGGGAGTGGGAGAGACAGATGCAGAGACAGCGAGATGGAGAGACAGACACAGATAGAGAGTGAGAGAGTGTGTGTGTGAGAGAGAGAATATACGGATGCAGATACGGTCGGCGTGAAGGATGACATCCCGCAAATTGCTCTCCACTTACAGGCAGTGACAACAGCATTGCGTTAACGTTAAATATAGATAAGCGTTGATGGGGATGGTTGGTCGCTGGCATAGAGCTAAAGTAAGCTTCAGACAGCCCATTGTTTCCCAGAGTAGGGTGTCTGTTTAACATGGACACTTGAGTGGCGAAACAACTAACTAGGTCCTAAATATATTGATCTACTTCCTTGACACAAAATGGCAACAATAAAGGCGGTGGCTGTGATTAGTCATAAACAAATTGATAGTGCCATCACGCCCAACCTTGTGATCAGTTCCACAAAGCCCTCTAAGTCCTACCCTTTAAATTCATTATAAATTATCACATTTTATCATATGATAGTTGCATCACTAAGACTGACTGACTGACTGAGTTTAGTTTTCGCCGCTTTTAGCAATATTCCAGCAATATCACGGCGGCGGACACCAGAAATGGGCTTAACACATTGTACCCATGTGGGGAATCGAACCCGAGTCTTCAGCGTGACGAGCCAACTCTTTAACCACTAGGCTACCCCACCGCCCCGCATCATTAAGAAAGTGGGGAAGCGTGGTAGTGACTGTGATCGTCTCGTTTACAGTGACTTCCTGTTGAAAGATATGACTATAAGTTCTTGCACTTACTTATATCCAGACTGAGTCCTCTTGAAGGCACTGGCGTATCCAAACATACTTTTTTCTGGTCCATGGAGGACACGGGCGTGGACAACGTCAAAGTTGTAACCGGAACACACATCTACCAGAAATAAACACAGAAGAAGTGGAAGAATGGCGGCTCCAGCTGTCGCCATGTTGGATACAGTGTAAGTGTGCACTGGTCGAGTGTCGTCAGCTTCAGAGTCGAGGAGGCGACCGGAAAATATGGTGAACTGTATCGGACATATTTGCTCTAATTGAATGAGTTAGTAATTATGCTATGACGCATAAATGGACAGTATTTCATATGTATTATGGTGGTGGTGGGGTAGCCAAGTGGTTAAAGCGTTCGCTCGTCACGACGAAAACCTGGGTTCTATTCCCCACATGGGTACAATGTGTGAAGCCATTTCTGGTGTCCCCTACATTCAATTGCTGGAATATTGCTAAAAGCGGCGTAAAACAAAACTCACTCAATTGTATTACGACGTGTCACCTTCAAGTCGGAGGATGTGCGGTGAGGTAGCCACGTGGTTAAAGAGTTCGCTCGTCGCAACGAAAACCTGGGTTCTATTCTCTACATGGGTACAACGTGTAGAGTCCATTCCTAGTATCCCAATCGTTGCTGGAATGTTGCATAAAGCTGTTTAAATCTCACTCACTCACCCAATGCATGTGCCAGGGGACTGCAGCTCTTAAATGTGTCCAACTACGGTGAAAATGAAGCTCTGTAATTGTCTGGCAAACCAAGGATCATGATCATGATACATTTGGGATTCGAACCAGTGTGCGAAATAGCCACTAGCCCGCTTGCCCGTGGCTAGTAAAAATCCAGTCGGGCCAGTAAATCTCCACAAATACTGGCACGACTGGCTGGTGACTTTTCATGGGATCATTTTGTAAATTCATCACTCTCTCCGACTTGTTAAGTTATAATACACTTTTTAAATCATGCAAGATTTATGGCCTGATATAAATGTTCATATCAGCAGCTTAATGATGAAACCCGTGTCTACATTCAAATTTCGGGCTAGTGAATTATTGTGTGGACTAGTAACTTTAGGCATAGCTAGCCCAATTGGCTTGCAAAATTTGGAAACTATTTCGCACACTGATTCGAACAAAAGACACTATAATCGACTTAGAAATATAGCTGGAGACTTCAGAAAGTGACAAAGAAGAAATCATGGCCATGATCTTGCCTTGGTTTGTTTTAGTCAAGGAAACAGATAACTCTATGTCCTGATTCGACTTGTCATTCAAGATTCATTCAGTACTCAGTGGTTTACCATAGGAGTGTGAATTTGTTCAAACCTTTTGGTCAAATTTTTTATCATGGTTAACAGAAGGTTGTGATCAAATCCGTCATCCCAAACTCACTTTGGAACTGATAATTTTTGGCTGTAAGAAAAAATGTTTTTACTAACTCTGTTTTTGACTGGTTCATATTATTGGGAAAATATAACTTGTACAAACGCAAGCTCAATTCTGCTTTACCAAATATTGCTCAGTTCAGAAGTGAGTTGAGATTGAGATACAGTATTGACAAATGTATTTTGTTTAACAAAAGCTGTAACGCCGAATTTTATTCCATATGACTCTTATATCATGGTTTAATCACAGACAACTGAATTAATAATTATATTCTTAATTTATTTGCCTGATAATTGAAAACAACTTTGTGTTTGTGTGAATGGTGAGTGAATGGTTTGTCTTTTGTCGTAAAAAGGTGCACCTGTATCCCGTGAGATTGCTGCCTATCTTCTGACTGAGCGCTTCCCTGGCTGCTTAGTCTTGACTGAAACAGGGATTCAGAAATAAATTTAAACTACAAAAAAGTTTACCATCATATGAAAGGTAGCCCTACAAACAATCCCTTTCCCATTCTTGCTCCAAGATATTACGTTGTGTATATGCAGCGTTTCTGCGGCACCAAACAAGGGCTATGAACCAAAGAAATCGACTTTCGTCCGACCAGTGGACCTTTCCCCATGACGTCAGATTCCAGTGACGTTGCGCTTGACACCAAGCTAGTCACGTTGCTTTGTGCTCTGGGGATAGCGAGCGTCTGACCGGTCGCCTGGCTCTATACCCGACCGATTTTAGGCGATTTCATACCACTTTGTTGGACAAACGACGGTGTGGTTACTTAGTGTTTAGACTGTTCTTGCACAGGGCTCGATCTAGCGTCATCAAAACGTTGGGAACAAGTTTATAATCTAGAGTGAGTGAGTAAGTTTGGTTTTACGCCGCTTTTTAGCAATATTTCAGCAATGTCACGGCGGGGGACACCAGGAATGGGCTTCATACATTGTACCCATGTGCTGAACCGAACCCGGGTCTTCTGCGTGATGAGCAAACGCTTTAACCACTAGGCTACCCCACCGTCCCTCTATTCTGGAGTAATAAGCCACTGTATCTGGACAAACGGTGGTTTTATCTTAATTCCTTTGGGGCCGATTATTTGAACAACCCGTTTTGTATGGGCCTTCAAATTTCAAATAATTCATTGGTTTACACAGTATTTTATTCAGAACAAATTAAATACAGAAAAGTTGGTCGCTTACTATCGTTTTATGCTCACACCGGGCTGCCGTAGTTTGTTCATCCTGTTTTAGATTGCGTCACTGTAGTTTCTCAGTGCGCCTCATATCCTCATAATTAAAATTCACATATAAATCCTCAAAATAATAAACTGAGTTATCAGTGTCATTTTAAATAGTGAGTGAGTGTAGTCTTACGCCGCTTTTAGCAATATTCTACCAATATCACGGCGGGGGACGCCAGAAATGGGCTTCACACATTGTACCCATGTGGAATCGAACCCGGGTCTTCGGCGTGACAAGCGAATGCTTTAATCCCACCGTCCCAACAATAAATAACAACCCCAGGGCAATTCCATAGAAAAGGTGAGACTGACCTGCAGCTGGAGTGGTAACCAGGTGTCAAAGCTTTAACACCTTGCGCAAATGGCGCACTTTAAAAATACCCCTCTATCCACTGAGTTGGTGCACGTGTCAAACTAATTGTGGAGCTCACTCACTCACTCTGTTTTATATTTACATCTGTGCGATTCAGAGGGACTAGAACCTCAACACCAGACTGTATGAAAAGGGTGGTGGTTTAACTTTCAAACAGTAAACCTTTCCGGTCTGACGAACTATATTAAAGCTATTTTGGTTTTTACATTTAAACTTTTTAGGTACAATCGAGCCTTTTTATATCAAAATGTCAAAAAGCGTCATAAGACTTCATCTCAGAAAATGTTTGGTCGAAGCTACAACATTCAAGGCTTCAGTAAAGCTTTGAGTGAGTGAGTGAGTATGGTTTTACGCCGCTTTTAGCAATATTCCTGCTATATCAAGGCCGGGGACACCAGAAATGGGCTTCATACATTGTACCCACGTGGGGAATCGAACCTGGGTGTTCGGCGTGACGAGCCTAAACTTTAACCACTAGGCGCCCCAAGTAAACCTTTAAAAAAAGTTTCATTGTAGACATGTGGGGACATTTCCAAATTTGACGCAAAGATACTATTCCCAAAAAGAAACGCATAGGCGTATTGCATTTTTTTTTTTACATGTACTAATTACCTATTGTGTGCTAACAATCGTCAAAATATGTAATAAAAGTGTTGATAACATGATTTTACACAACATAAATCACCTTCCAGTTGAAATTGTGCAGCACAGAGCAGGCACTGTCTGGATATAAAAATACATATTACTTTCGGAAATCTGCATTTGTTTTGAAGAAGTTTCAAGGTCAAATCTCTACGCCACGTCTTCACGCTGGGACACGGAACATCGCCATTGAAAGAATGCACGCTGGAGATTACCAATCTTCTGTTGCCAGGCGTCTGAATATTAGTCTGAGCACGATATCACGGCTTGCAGCTCGTTACAAGAAAACAGGTATAACAAATGACGGTCCCCGTACCAAGCAGACCTCGAGTCACCACTGTAGCCCAAGATCGGTACATCCGGGTACTACATTTGCGTGATCGTACTGCCACGTGTGAGAGCACAGCAGCCAGAGTGCCAGGACTTCGGAGGATTTCCGGTCAAACTGTACGGAACAGGTTGAGAGAGATTGGACTGAGAGCCATAATATTTTGAAGCTATTAAAATCATCAAACGTCAAACGATAACTCTATAGGTCTCATAAAAGATGAAAGTTGGGCAAGCCCTCAATACCACCTAAATATAAGGCTTTGCAGCCCATAGGGCTTACACGAAAAAAATGGCTTGGTACGCGCCTGGCAAACGCACGAGAATTACAATACGGGCCTCTAACCACTGATTCTCCGTGACCTGGAGACACATGTGACTGAGCGTATGTTGGGGCGTCGTCTGTCATACAGACCCTGAAGCAAATATATCCAAGCTCACGCAAGTCTACAAATTGAAACAAGTCTAGATTTCCACAGCTTCAGGAGAAAGTCCCAGGGCACCTTTTCATTATATTATATATTTTTTTATTATGAACTTTTATTCTGTGAAATATGTTCATATCAGAGACTAGTTGTTGATCTAGTTCTGACGTGTTGAAGACAAAAGACAAAATGGATACTAGTGCTGTTAAATTTCTTAAATTATATATAGATATTCGCCCTTGTCTCGGGTTAAATGAATATTTTCCACCAAATGTACATTCGGAGGATATCGATGTCTAGGTTAAGCTATTTGAATCATATTTACAATTAAAAGACCCAAACAATGGTTTGTTGTCCAAATCTTTGGTTTTCCATATCTTTTCCCAGTCTGTATCACAGTCACAGAAAGATATTTTTTCCCCTTCCGTCTCTAGAAAAACTCACTGCAGGGTTCGGGTTATGGAGTGCCATACCAAACACCCACAGCTGGCGGGACCAACATCTCCAGTAACATTTACATCTGCCAACGCTTAATTCGCAAGTGGTGAGGCAATAAGCTAATGAGGCTAAGGGTCCTGTACCATGTTTGTGAAATATCGATGATGCCTTATATGAAGTCTATCATCTAAGCAAGTCTAGCTATGTATGGCGTTAAGTCACTGCTTGGAAAAAAGGCTCCTTTAGAATTTTATTTGATAAATATTAGTATTTCCATCATATTGGAAAATACATAGACTAACGCTTAGTGTCTGAATATATATAATTTTGATCGTACCAAACAAACCCATTTAAATTGAAATGGAGCCTGAGGGAGACACGAGATTAAGTCCGGCTAGCCATGGCAGTTAGATATGTTTACTTTGTAACCCGACCCCCAAAGTGAGTTAGGTTTCTTGCAGATGTTAACAGACCCTGGACCTGAGGAGATCTAGACTTGCTTCAATTAAAGGCTTTAGCATTGCAGAGTGGGCTTGGCGGTAGGGGAAATAATGTGGTTCAGGGACTGTGAGACAGCCTAGAAAATGCATGGCAACCTACACTTCATTGTGACTATGATTAAGGCATCATTTAAAACACAAGGGTTATTTCCTTTGAGTTTAACTGACAGGCTTTCGGTGTCAAATTATTTGGAACTCCGGCCAAAGGTGATGTTATTCTGTCTAGAAATATGGCCTTTTTGTAATGCTTTGGTTACACATAATGATAAGTGATTGTTGTACATATGATGTTTTTGAAGGATAATCTCAGCTGACTAATACTTTGCACGTGTTTCCCTCCACTCTTTCCATACCCGTAAAAGTTAATTTTCCATATATATGTCTGTAACAAAATACTCTAAAGTAAGGGGATGGCTGAATTTGGCCACCTGAGGTAGTGACCACAGCACTCTGGTTATACTGCACTGAGAGAGGACAGAGCTTGGCAAGATACCAATAAATATGCTTGTCATTTAAACCTTTATCTGATGTTTGTGGAATGTGATTTTATAATTGAAGATGCCTCCTGCACCTGTAGCCCCAATATAGATGTTGTTTGTCTGTGAATCTTCCAAATTACTTCGTCTCTTTTTTCAGTTGAAATTAAGATCTTTGCCTTTTATCAAAATAACATATTTTCAGTCTTAATGTGCCTATGTCGGGAATCAAACACCGGTTTTTGACATGACAGGCGAACGCTTTAACCACGAGCTTACCCCCATCATTCCTTGATACTATTAAAGAATATACATTGGTACATTTATTATACATTCAAGATTGAACCCAGTTTTGTCACTATATATCCTTATGTTAGTGACGTGATCTGCACACTGAAAACTTAAAAAGAGGAATATAAATAATGATTGTTTCCGATCTTTATCCAATTTAGTTTTCCATTTATCTAGTAATTTTCAGTTTCTATTTTCCTGAAATTTTATTCGCAGGTACTTTTAACAGTTTCACCCAATAACAGTAAAGCATACAGATAATACGTTTCGGTACTTTGATAGATTTGATAATAAGTACACATTATATTCCATGATATTAAGATACCAAAATGATTAACATAATTATATAATGTATAACAAATTAGAAAGCAAAAAAGAAAACGCATGAGCAACATAATGCTGTCAGGTAGTAATCTTTCAATAATTATCGAAACTGCTTAGTTATGAGCTAATTGCAATCACTACAATTTTCTATAGTCTACCCAAGAGATGGAACAAAATAGGTCTATTATGTATATTATGAGCTAATTGCAATCACTACAATTTTCTACAGTTTACCCAAGAGATGGAAACAAAATATGTCTACAGTATATTCCGTCGGGTAACTGAAATTTGAGAAAACGTCCGTATGGGATAATACCTGTATTCCGAATCAAAAAGAGGTCATACCAAGTATGTGCATGTTCACACATTTACAACAGTAATTTACACCGGGAATCATTAATACATTGTAATCATCTTTTATGAGAGTATAGATAATGAAATTTGTTCACTTATGATCAGTCGGATAACTCATACAAGTGAGCACTAAAATTAGGGACCTATCTGTCTGTGTTTTATTGTAATTAGCAGTGTCTCCTTGTATATAAGAAGTGGACCTAAGGTCAGTTACTTAAACTGTTATGTAATTTCCATTACAAAAAGTATAATCGATATTACCTACTGGTCAGAAAGACTTATCAGTACCCCAGCACCGACCCACCGCCACCACCCCACCCTAGGCCTATCCCATGCCACACCCTCTCACTCGCACACATACACACTCCCTAACATACATATCGCTCTGGCCCATAGACCCGATATTTTAACCTTTTAAACAGACACCATGTGTATGTCAAGAAAGACACGCATGTTATTAGTGGTGCTCAGTCATGGGTATCACTTCACCATGTGTTTCTAATTATCTCAGTACATTATGGCGTGGTCGGACGCGCTAACAAACCCTATGTGACGGTTACATTACAGACCATTGAAATACATGTTAAAGTAGTGCTAATCGTGTTACATTATATTTACCCATTTCCAACCATTTACGCATGTACTAAATTTATGACAAAACTAATCCTGGTCATACGAGATTTCAACGGTATTGAAATGCATGTCCTACAATCACAGCATTTACATATGTTACACATGTTAGGAAACACATGAAAACAATGGCCAGATTTACGCACCTGTGAAATACATGTAAATGCAGAGTTGAATGTTCGTTCATTTTAACCCCCCTTTAAACGTGTGTAAA